CGGCCCGCAGAGCACAGTCACTCGTGTGTGTGGGGACTGAGAGAAGCACGCAGACATGACGGGAGTCGCGTCTCTCCATCGGGAGAGTGAGCGCAGCAAAAAAAAGAAAAATCATCAGAGGGGAGAGAAATGCTCACGAGGCCGACCCCGAAGGGTGCGCCAGCGCAAAAAAACACACAGTGAGAAAGTCAAAGAGAGCAAGCAAAATTCCTTTTTAAAAGCGGCAGGGTGTGGCTGTGTGTCTGTGGCGCTGCGGGTGTCTGCCCGCCCTGACCGCAATAAAACAAAACAAGAGGGAAAGAAATGTGTGCTCCGCCCCACCGGCACTCGTCGCACGCCCACACGTCACGGCTCCCTCAGCGCGCCGTTCGTCGCGGCCCCTCCTCATGCGTGCAGCAGGCGAGGCGCACAGGGCCGTCGTCATGAGCGTGTCGGTGGGTGTGCGAGTGGAGCAGTTGGGCGGGAAACACACGGCACCCCTCACAGGAAGAGTGCAGAAGAAACAATTGAAAAGAGTAGAAAAGAAAAAGAGTTCCATGGTGGTTGCCCCAAAAGCAAAAAATAGAAGGGATGGGGGATGAAAAATAAAATTTAAAAATTTAAACAAATTAAACCATTAAAAATGAAAAAAAAAAAAAAAAAACGTTCATATTGGTTGCCCCAAGGCAACAAGCAAAAAAGGGGGAGATAAAAAAAACGGAAACACAAAAAAAAAAAGAATTGCGGAGAGTAATTCATTACCGGACGTGCGTCGGTGTGGGGGATGGCGCAAGTGTCCCACACTGAGGCCGCACACTCCTCACGCAGTCGCAAAGCCCCACAGTCCCAGCAGAAGCAGCAGCGGCAGCAGCACCCTCCCGTACGCGGAACCAGCATCACCATTTGCCCCACCATCACCCTTTTCTCGTGCCGTCCCCTCATTCCCAGCAGAAGTCAAGCGTTCCGCTGGCGCATGTTGGGTATTGGCGGTTCTCCCCACAGTTGTCCTCCCCGGTGCTGCTGGTACTTCCCGTGGGCCAGGCACCGCAGGTGCAGCAGGTGCAGCAGGTGCGACAGGTTTGGGAGCAATTTTCACTTGTGGTTCTGGAGCTCTCGTCGAAACGGGGATCCTGTCCTTGATTGCACGCATCTCAGTGGGATTCAGTGGGCGGTTGTACAGAAAGACGTTCGTCACCGTCACACGAGGTTTTTTGCCGATCTTCTCCGGACTGGACTCCTTCGGACTGGCCTCCTCATCATCACCACCATCATCATCATCATCACCATCATCATCATCATCATCATCAAAGTCGCACGCGCCAAAGCAAAACCCAAAGGGCTCAAGTGGTGTCTCACCTGTTAACGGCGCTTCTTCCCCCAGCGACTCACCATCAATGTACACAGAGATCTTGTTGCCTTGCAGCATGAGTGCCACTTGGTGTTCTTTCTTCGGCACCCAAGGCCTGCTTTCCGTTGTTAGTTTTTTATCGCCTTTGGAAATCGTCTCCCACTTGTTATCCGCGGTGTACGACAGTCTCATGAAATACGGGGGCTCAGCGTCACCCAACAGCGCAGTCAGGAGAGGAGTTTTCTCACTCGGAGCCTCTTCGATGGTCACCGACGCCACAAGTGTGAAGTTGTGGTTCAAGGATACATGACGCACATTATCACCCCGAGTGTTCACAAGCCACATTACCCCGGAGTCAGTCTCCGTCAACTGAAACCCATCCTTGACCTTCGTGGCGTTCGTCACCGTTGCATTCAGGCAAAGGTACTCGTCGTTCCACGTGTCGTCACTGGCCGATGCGTTTGACAAAACTGCCACCAGACCCGCCGTGGGTATAGAAAAGCTGGAGAAGAAAACGTCCTTTTGCGACCAAGTACTGAGGACGGACTCGATTTCCTTCAGTTTCTCCGTCAGGCGGGAGAGTGAAATGGCACTGCCTTCACTACTGACCCTCCGTTGTAAAAGATGCAACTTGCCATCCGAGTACAGCAGGGTGCTGGCGACCTCCTTCTTCCCAGCATTGTCCATGCCAACCGGTCCAACAGAAAACGAGCGGTTGTTGTCCGTCACCCAAAGGTAGAGCGGATTGGCGTTTTCCTCCGTGGCGTACCCTCTCTGTGTGTACAGCATGACCTTCCTTTTCCCAATGGTCGCGGTGATGAGGGCATCCACATGCAGGCTTGAATCCTGAGAGGCTTCCGATCCTGAGTTGACCCACACGCCTGGAAGCGTCCCGATGGCCTCCGTCCACGTTGTCCCCATGTCACGCGACTCGTACACCCTCTGGCTGCTCTCGCAGTCAACAATCATGAGAAGTGATCCCTCCCACTCGGTGATGCGGGGGCCAGTGCAATTCGCAGGTGAAATGTCCTCAGAGAGCGACCAGGTACTGCCGTTGTCCGAGTAAATAATCATGGAGTAAACGCCATCATTTTTTTCATTCATCGCCATCAGAGAAAACACAATGGTGCCATCCTCCATCAGAACACCTGAGCCACCAGAAGCAATAAACTCCGTCAATTTGCCTTTGTGAGCAGCTAAAGTAGTCTGCTGCACCGGCGATTGAACTTCGTCCCATTTGATCCACTCACTCGGCTCGCCGCCCGCAGAAGGCTTCGTGACCTCACCAGCAACCAGTTTTAGTTCCAGGCTGCCCTCTTTCCAACTCCCATTTACAGGGGACAAGGCAGTGCTTCCCACAAGAAGAAACACCTTATTGCCCTTCATCGTTGTTGTGGGGTGGCGCACAACATCCAAAATCCCCTTTCCCTCCGCTTTGCCAAGCACGGTGTGTGCACTCCGTGTTCCTTTACCGACCTTTTCAACAAGAGTGGGCCACTCCCACGCAGAGTCGATGTACTCCGCAACAACATCAGAAGACGGCTTAGTTGATTCGTTATGGGGGGGTTTGGCATTTATGTGACCTTCGGCAAAAGCAGCAATTACTCCACCAGCACTGACGAGAGAGGGTGAAACAAATGAATCCCTCCGACCTGATTCAGTCCCCTTCTTCGGCAGCACCTGCGTCGTCTGCGGCACAAATAGATCGACCCGTTGCAGCCCCTCAACACCCCCTGAAGTGCTCCCCTCTGCAGTAATGACACCCGTCAATGTCGACCCAGAAGGAGTTGAAGCATCACCATTACTTCCCACCTCAGCGGTCGCAGCTCCACCACAACACATCAACACGACAAATAGGAGCAGCACCGCGGAAGTAAACACACGCCGGGACATGTTGGGCCTCTGCGGCTCACTCTCTCCTCCTTCCCTCCTCCTTCCGCTGGATCCGGTCACGCCGCGACGGTTGTGTGTGCGGGGTTCCTTCACTGCAGCAACACGTGAGAGCATATAAATATGTGTGTGTGGGCAATCTGTGCTGTTGTTGGTCCCTTCAGAGACTTCGAATTTCACAGTAGCGATTCGCGCTTGTTTTCTTTCCTTCCTAGTGTGTCTGTGTTCAAGAAGTGGAGAGTACAGCAGCAACAGCGGCAATACACCAGAAAGGTCAGTGAGGAGCAGAGCAGAGCACCCACGCAGAGAGTGGGGCACGAGACAATCCGGAAGGGACGGCACGAAGGACCATCGCCCACAGAAAAGAGCAGCAACACGGCAAGTCACGGCGGGCCGTCGGTGTGTGCGGGCCAGCCCTCACGCGGTGCAACACGCCACACCCAACAGGGAATGACAGACAGACAGGCGGAGAGAGAGAGGGAGATGGATGCCGTCAAGAGGCACTCACAATCAACATGGCCCGTGAGCATGCGGCCACTCCACGCAGGAACACAGGAGAAAAGGGTGAGAGGGAAAAAAGCAAGAAGCAGCACAACGCACACGGAAGAAACAAATTACAAGCGGGAAAAGCACCGCCACGGCCCTCGCCCTGGCCGGCAACTCCACACCAGCCCTCACACACACACACACACCATCGCAGTGCCGTCAGTCCGCGGGTGAGAGGATTCGGCCCTCCACACAACAAACGCACACACCGCCAGCAATAATCCACCAATAGACAACAACAAGAAGCGACACACCGCCACCGCCTCCAAGCTCCATCCCACGGACAACGAGATACGGCCACAGCCCGCTGCCGGCACACAACGCACACGGAGCGAGCAATCACCCAAAGAGCCACACGCGGAAGCGGATCCTCACCCATCCATGACGCGGCGCCTCAGTCCACGCGGTCACACGGAGTGCACTGTTTCCTCAATAGAAATTATTCGTCGTCCATCCCCTAAAGATGCTTCTGTTAGTGATGGGCCTTCGAACACAATAGAAGGAAATGGACAATGCGGTAACGCCGTGACACCGCCAGCCACAACGATTCTCTCATACCGGGGCAATTCTCCAATTACGCCTCGTATGCACACACAATCAACATACCATATAAAGTTCACCCAATGTTTTTCACCAGAAGCCAAGCAACCCCTTTCCCTCCCTAATTTCTTCGGTCACTGTTAAGTTCGATAGCGTTGGACATTTTGGCATTTGTGTGCGGTGCTGCCGCACGGGGCTGGTGCACCCGCACCGCATGCTCAGACACAAGCAACCAAAAATACATAAATCCCACAATATTTTTTACCACAAATCAAGCTGTCTCGTTCACCTTCAATTTCCTAATCCATTTTCCTATTATTATTATTATTTTTTGCACACTTCGGAGAGCTTCTTCTCTTCTAAAGTCTCTGGACGATATTGACACTTGGTAGTGGCGCACCTTTTCCCTCCAGAACACCGCAATGTCTTTTTAATCGTCGCTCACATTATCGGAGTTGACGACATCACATCTTTGTCGGTCGTTCATCGGCATGCCGTCTGCCTGCTGCACATAAATAATCTCCCACGACATGTCTCGGGATAACTCCTCCCAACCACTAAAATACGCCGCCAGGCACTCAGTGAACTGCCTCACAG